CATTGAACAACAACAACAGATAGTACCTTGTGTGGATTTTACTTCCATCCTCTGTTTTCTCTTTGTGGTGTACTTTGAGTGTTTTATTCTAATCCATCGTCCAGTCCACTAATTCATTTGCATCTAGTCAGATTTTGATTGTTATTTTTTTCAAGTGTAGAATTTGCTTTGTTCTTTTAAAAACCTGCTATATCTTTTTTTTTTTTTTTACATCTTTTTTTATCTCTTAATTTTTTTGCTGAAATTCTCAATCATGTCTTCTGTCCTCTTGAGCCTGACAGAAGGCAGACGTATTTTGATAGCATGAAAAAAAAAAAAAAAGTCCTAGTTTAATTATAGAAACTAACCAGACTTCTCATAGACCTCTTCCCTCCTGCCCTCAAAAAAGCATAACTTTCTTTTATAAAAATATTTGGCTAATTAAATATTGCTAGACTGCATCATTTAAAATGGCTACTGGTAGCTTGGAAACCCTGTACAGGGTTGCAGTGATTTAGAACTGACTCCCAGCACATGACACCACTACCATAGCTGTTACATCCAGTAAATACAGAATTTCTTTGATAAGCAGTTCCTTTGTTTGCAAAATTTTAAATTAATGCGTATTTACAGTTTTAAGCCTATATCCTGAAATTACCCATAATTATAATTTATTCTATAGAAAAATGGCTTAGCAAGTAGTTCAGCTAGAACCTCAGTAATTAAAGCTATGGTCTTACACTGATTTGTGTGTTAATTTGTTTTGCTGTTTTTGTGATTTTTGACTGGCAGGATATATAATTATATGATAATGTTGTTGTTAAGTGCCGTCGAATCAGTTTTGACCCATAGCGACCCTGTATAGGGTTTTCGAGGAGTAGCTGGTTGTGCTTGAACAGCTGATGTTGTGGTTCAAATGTGGTTGCAGTTAAGTGCATTAAACCACAGAGCCATGCCAGGGTAACATTGGTGGTGGTTATGTGCCATGGAGTCGGTTCCGACTCATAGCGACCCTGTACAGGGTTTCCGAGGCTATCAATCTTAACGGGAGCAGAAAGCCTCATCTTTCTCCCGTGGAACAGCTGGTAGTTTCGAACTGCTGACCTTGCGGTTCACAGCCCGATTCATAACCACTTTGCTACCAGAGCTCCTTTCGCTATAGCAAGAGACCTCAGTGTTTGCTGTTTGCTATCTCCGCTTTAGTTTCCTCGTCGATTTTGGTTGTTTTTGGTTTCTCTTGTCCTTGTTTAATTCTAGCACCCCTTACGTTAGTGTGGCATGTAGCGCTCAGGTGTGGGAAGGAATGGAGGGTCACAATTAATTTCTGAGGATGTAGTAGTGTTTGCATGCTCTGTTTATTCTTATTTAACTCAGTTTGAAAGTTTTTTATAAACATAATTTCAAAATGAAAAGAGCTTTTTATGCATTTGTCAGTCTTCCCATAGCTGGTTACTCTCCCATCCTGCCTCCAAACTTTCTCTAAAAATATATTTATCTAATTAGATGTTAGTTACTATTAGTTTTTCTCAGTTACTGAAAATCCCCACATTTATGACCTGCAAAATCCCAGGTATTTTAGTATGTCCTAGGTCTTCTTCCTATTTTCAGTTTTTAATCCTGTTACTGGAGTTCAAAGCACTCAGTTATGCCAGCTCTCAGGTGTCAGGTCCTCAAAGGTCCTTTGTGATTTTAGAGCGCCTTTCCCTTCTCCGGCACCATGCAGGGGCTTCTGTGTACCGGCTGATTCTCTTTAATGTGTTCAGTGTCAAATTGTGTGACTCCAAAATAGTTGCTGTTTCAAGTCATCCAGAGGCTCCTTCCTCCTGCTCCGCTCTGTGTGCAGGTTGAGAGAGTGCTTTCCTCAGTGGAAACAGTGCATGCTCATTGGAGACAAAGCTCTATCCTTCTCTCTGAGACATGTATGGCACTGTTTTTACAAAATGCTTTGGCCCTATACCAGCTCACTGAGGAGTGAATTTAATGAAGCACAGAATTGTCTAGCACAGTGTCTTAGCCTTGAGTAGGGATTTTTTTTTTAAATTTGGAAATGTATCATTATCTGATTTATAAATTATCTCATTTCATTTCTGAGGCCCTCAGGTTGGGATGTCAGCCACACAGTAGTGTGTAAGAGGAACAGTAACTGGCATTAAGGCATGAACTTAAGCAATAGAGGAATTTACTTTTCAGTGTCTTCCAAGGTCCATGAGGATGCACACTTATTTACCCAGAGATTATGGACCTCACATATGTTTGTCCCGAGGGTGTGACTCTGTGGAGGACACTTAGCGGTAAGTATCAAACTCTTCTTGCATTACTTTTCAGAGGATATGTTTAGAAATCAATGGATTTTTAGCAGTGATAAAATCTCTTAGTCTGTGCTGGTTTTTTAACAGCGGACAGTCCCAGATGTTGAAGTCAGCACAACAAGAGAAAAACCCAAATCCTGATAAGACTTGAGGATTTTTCGAAAATTAAGTGCAAAATAGTTGGGGCAATTGTTGCTGCAGGAAAGAAGACTAAGTAATACAGTAAGAAGATATGACGGTGCAGAGCGTCTCATGTTGCATAAATTTGCATATGTGCAAAACCCAGGACTTTCCTGACTTTAAAGGGGACACCTTTTGGAACTTAAGGCTGCAGACTCCTGTGAAGCAGAATGTGCATTGTGGTCCTCACAATATATTCTGATATTTCTTTGCCAAGTCCTTTCTGTTTGTAAATAAAAGCTGTGTTTGTCTCAAATTTGTAAGTGCTGTATATATACTGGCCACATCAAATCTTTTAACAATGTTTTCCAAATCCAAAATGATTACTTTTAACAAATATTTATTTTTCTTGGGGGGGATGGGTAGAAAAAAATCTGGGGGAAGGTAGGGCTGATTCAAGAGACCAATTGCTACTTCTGTTTTACGCCTCACTATTCTTTCTCTTTTTCTTTCAGCAAAGAATTCTTAGGATCTTTACTGATGATTGGTTGAAAAACTTGTCAAGTTTTTGTGCAGTGTGATACAAAAATTTAGAACAACAATGAACTCGATCTTAGCATATTTTCTGGGAGTTAAGCATACTTCATAAACACTTTGCCACTGCTAAATCCACACATGAAGATGTTGTTGTTGTTGTTGTAATGTGCTGTGGAGTCAGTTCGGACTCATAGCAACCCTGCACAGGGTTTCTGAGGCTATAAATCTTTACAGGAGCAGAAAGCCTCATCTTTCTCCTGCGGAATGGCTGGTACTTTCGAATTGCCGACCTTTAGGTCAGCAGCCTGATTCGTAACCACTACGCTCAGGCCTGATTTAAATTAAGTTTTAGAAATAAATGGTGATGGAAGTATAGGATCTGTTAGGAAGAACTCAGTGCTCAGGAGTGCTTTGGCATCTTGTGGACAGCAGTTGACGCATATTGTTGCTGATAATTAGCGTGTGGACCATCTGTGAGTCTGTTTCTTCTAGAAACTGACCTGTGAGGGAACATGTGTTGCCTCCAAGCGCTAGGACTGGCAGTGTTCCTAGCACGCTGACTCAGGGAGAGTGCTAGGAGAGTGAAAAGGTGGTTGGAATAATCCAGACTGGGAGTGGGGAAGGAGTGGGGACGGGGGGCGTGGCTTAGACCCCTGTGGTAATTGCAGAGGTGACCAGGGGTCAGATTCTGGATATATTTTGATGGTAGAGCCTTTCACATTTGTTGATCATTTGATTGGGGAAATGAGAAGAGTTTTAAGAATGACTCCCAAGTTTGTGGGCAGAACAATGGGAAGAGTAGAGTTGCCATTTAGTGTTTACTGAGTTGAGGAAGATTGCAGAAGGAGCAGATTTAGGGGAGAGACTAACTAGTTCAGTCTAGGGCAAGAGAAGTTTGAGATTCTCGTTACTATCCAACGGTTGAGTAGAGAGTTGAGAGTTGGATATGCATTGGTTAGTATTCAAATGTTCGTTTTGTATGATAAGTTGGTAAGTCATATAAGTTCTGCTTCAATGATTTACCTACAGCCTTTCTAGTGCTTTCATATATAGTGTCTCATTGGAATGTTTACAAATTTTCTATCAGGGTGATACTATTGTTAACATTTTACACATTAAGTGACAATTTAGAAAGGTCAGTTTTCTTAAGATCACAGATACAAAACTTGTTTTAGAACCACAATCATCCACTATAACTGATTATATATAACAGTGGTGATGTATTACTTACAAAACAGGCACTCAGAGAAGTTCTCATAATTGCTATAAGTAAACAGAACAGTACTGTAAACTCCTTTTTCTGTTGCATACACTTGCACACATAGATGCATTTCTAGAGAAGTATACATAACATCTTTGAGAACTATTAATAAAGATAGTTGGGTTTTATTTTGTTTTGGTTTTTATCTCTAGTGTGTAGAACACTAATGTTCTAATGTTGATTTTAACTTTGCTTATGCATTTTAAAGTTCTCTACATGGGAAATGGAGACGACTGATCATAAGTTAAGAAATGTATTAATATTTCAAAAATGCTATGAAAACAATTTATATCATGGTAGTTTATATTTTTGTCAGTTGTTTAAAATGGGATGAAAAGCCTAGTTGCACAGTCTTAAGTATATTCCTCTTTTTTTGTAGTAGAATGCATAGTATTTACTTTTTGAAGCAGCAAATCATGAAATCACAGCTGATTGTTGATGCTTTGCCATTACTGGGTGGGCTGACCAATGGTGTAATACAGATTACAGATAGCAGAATAGAACCAGAGATCTGTCAAAAGCATGTACTCTATCTGAATGTTTATGTACTGTTAATGTTTTTTATTCAGTAAAGCACATGGAAGAAATTTCTAAGTCATTTTAATTTTGTGTGGTCTTTTGATAAAATGAAGATGAGCAGATTAATATAGTTTTCTTCACTAAAGTACTAAGAAGGGAGTACATATTTTAAAAGGTCTCATATGAATGATTTTGGTTTGTATAATCTTGGATTTTTAAAAACTGTAATTGCTGATCTCATCTATGTAAATAGCAAACTCTTTCTGATTGTACAGGAAGCCCTGCATGTTGCAGGGGTGGAAATGCAGGTAACGGCTGCGGCGTCATTTCTGACCATTCTCCAGGAAGACTCAGTGTCAATTCATGCATATGCCCACTCCTTCCTACAAGTCATCCTACTGCATCTGGAGCACAGGGATGCAGGTCAGGGCCCTGGAATGCTTCATTATATACCTACTCATTGTCTCTTGATGTTACGTTGAATCCTAGGAGCCTGAGGTGTGACAGATTGTGATGCCTCCGAGCTGCTCAGTTGTCTGACTTTAAGTGGCCAAGCCTATCTCCTTAGGAAAACCTTAAACTTTGATATCTTGGGAAAGCTGCAGGCCCAGCGGTTAACCGTGTCATTTATATGCTTGCTTATGATTACTCTTTTTTTTTTTTTTTTTTGCTTTTTAGCATTTAGGTTTACAGTATTTTCATTCAATAAAAATTCAGTCTTTGAGTTAACGTACCCCCAAATATTATTTTGAAAAATATAAACCAGTAGTTTTTCCAGATGTTGGCTAAGACAAAGAGAGGAGGGATACTTTTTAAAAAATTAATAAAAGTAATTGTTCTCGCTTAATCAACCAATGTTATTGTGGCTGAGTTGAAACTGAATTTGTGAGCCAGAAATCTAGCCTGTTCTTTCTTTGTCAACCAGGTGTCAGTAACGCATGGCTGGAAACTCTTCTGTCTGTAATAGAAGCATTGCCAAAGGACACCCTGAGGCATGAGGTAAAGGGTTGTTCTGATAAATACTTGTAGTAATGGCCAGTCACTGAGTTTTCTTTTTGTATTCTTCCTTTCTAAAATGATATTTTAAGAAAGAATAAAATTATTCCCCGTTCCAAAAGTAATACATGCTCATTCTGGAAAATATGAGTAATACAGAAAATAGACGAAAAACCACCCGTAGTTCTGCAAGTTGACAGCCACTTTTAGTATTCTGCGAGCTGCTCATGGCCTTTCAGATTGCTCTGTATGGTTGCTGCTTGCCACTTTAGTGATCATATTGAATTTATATGTAATTGTTTTTCACTTAAGATTACTTAAATATTTTAAAATCATTCGGTAATGGTTGCAAACTCATCTGCCTACTTGTTAAACGCTATGCCTGTTTCCAGTAATTTTACCTATCAAAAGAAGGCATTAATGAACATTTCTGTAGAGCTGCTTTTTGCTTTTTTTTTTTTCTTCTTCATATTATATCTTTAGCTGTAGCTTCCAACAAAAGAAATGAGTGGGTTAGAAGGCAGTATCTGTATTTTTTTGGGTTTTGTTTTTGCATTAACATTCTTAAGGCTTTTGTACAGGGGTCTGAGAATTCAAGAAAGCCTGCTTCTCTGAACCTTTGTAAGCAGTGAATATTCCAATTAAATTTGGAAGAAAAAAAAGGAATACTATTTAATGAGAATTTTTTATGTGGTTGAATATTTTCCCATATATTAAAACCAGTTCTATTTCTTATTTTAAAATTGTTTGATCCAAATTGGTTGAGTCAATCCATCTATTACTGTTTATTCGAGAGGGCTTCAAGAATTTTAAGAACAAGATAATGGAATCTTCCCACAAATCTTTTGAAGCCCCCTCATATATATAAGATTTACAATCCTGTGCTATATTTATTGCAAATATTTTTCTCAGTTTGCTATTTATTTTTACATTTTCAACATTGTTGAGTATACTCTTCTCTCAAAGTTTTAGTAAATTAAGATGACAGACTAGGAAAATAGAAAGGAAATTTATCTTCTAGTGCAATGATCTTACCTCCCTTTTCAAATATGTCATGGCTGAAACAAACAATGAAGTGTTCTTTAAAGATTTAATAACACATCTTTGTCATTTCTTTGTTCCCATACAGTTTACAATTCTATCATAAATGTTATGTACCATGGAGTTGGTTCCAATTCATAGCGACCCTGCACAGGGTTTCTGAGCTGTAAATCTTTACGGGAGCAGAAGGCCTCATCTTTCTCCCATGGAACCATGTAGTTTCGAACTGCTGACCTTGCGGTTAGCAACCCGATTCGTAACCACTATGCTAACCAGATAGCCAGATAAAAAGTGAGAATACTTGCTTGAAAATTGGGAGATTCATCCACCTATAAAGATAACTTGTAAAAGTCATCTAAACATCTGGATAATTGTTGTTGTTTTGTGCTGTTGAGTTGGTTCCAATTCATAGCAGTCCTGTACAGGGTTTCTGAGGAGTGGCTGCTAGGTTTGACCCACCAACTTTCTGGTCAGCAGTCCAGTACTTACCCTACAGTGCCACATCAGGACTCTGAATGATTATATATATTTAAATGTTGGCTGTATTCTAGATGTGCTATTTCTGTATTTTGAAGAACACTATGCAGTTAGATGTAATTATACTCTAAATACCATCTGATTATTTAAAATATTAAATATATGTATATATATATGTATATATTTTGACTTTTTCCATTTTAAATGGTATTTATTCACTATGCAGTCAGAAATTCTGGCTACTTTGTTGAAAGGAGATAAACCAGTTGACTCTTTTATCAAAACCATAAATTGGGTCTTAATAACATATATTCTAATTTCTGTTTTATATCATAAGAAATCTGGGGATGAGAAATAATAGCTAGATTGTTGTTGTTATGTGCCGTGGAGTCAGTTCCAACTCATAGCCACCCTGTACAGGGTTTCCGAGGCTGTAAATCTTTATGGGAGCAGAAAGCCTCATCTTTCTCCTGTGGAACAGCTGGTAGTTTCAAACTGCTGACCTTGAAGTTCACAGCCCGATTCATAACCACTATTAGGATAAATATAAAGTTCATCTATATGAAATAAAAAATAGATTTCAAGTCATGTGCAATTAATTTTCATTTTTCTTTTTAAAATGTGTGTTTCACAACTTTTTTTAAACATGCATACATAAATCAAGGCAAAATTCTCCTTAAGCTTTCATCTGTTATTTTGGTTCCTGATGGCTTTAATTGTATAATTGAGCATTATCTGTACTTTGCTGATCTAGGAAGCAAAGAGGACCATACCAGGACTGGATACCCTAACCGTGTGCCTTAAATTATAATTCGTGTTCTTCACAAACAGGATGTTACAATAGTCTGTGAAATAAATAGCTGACATTAATGTCAAGAATGTATAAAACTTTGTGACTTTGCTCTCTAAATCTTTTCTTTTTAGATTTTGAATCCACTTGTTTCCAAGGCACAATTATCCCAAACAGTGCAGTCTCGTTTAGTTAGTTGTAAAATTTTAGGAAAATTGACAAAAAAATTTGATGTCCATACGTGAGTATTTACATATAATTTCATGTTTATTTTATTAAATTAAATCAATTTATGATCAATGACTCCGATTAGCAATCGTGTTAGGTTTGCATTATTCCATATGGCATAAATACTAAGTTGATAACTTTGTAGAATTTTGACAAAAGTCTACTTACTCAAATGCATTTCTTCTTGATCTCATGGCATTTCAAAGTTGACTTTATTTCTCTTTTCCATGTTATTCTTTCCTTGTCTCATACCCTAATTTATCATTGAGGATAAAATGGCATTGTTATGTACACTGCAAAAACTGGTAAACATAATGTATAGAACTTCTGCTTTCACATATCAGTGCTTATTATTTTGAGATCTTATGGAGAATGTTTATAATTTGTTTGTTACTCTTTGTCAAGATGATAGCCATTAGCTGGAAGGAAGGGAGTGTTTAACAAAAGAGAAAGTGGAACACTGAAGGGGAATTTGGATGGTGGTTGTTACAGTCAGACATTCTACTTGCTACAGTCTTTGACTTTAGCAGCATATCAGCTAAAATGACAAAATTAGCCATTATTTAAAAAAAATCCAGCTCCATAGATCACTTGTAAGTAGTTGATGATGCTATTCAAATTTAATAACATGAAAACTACATTGTAAGCTGTAGAGCTTTACATTGATGTGTATGTGTTATTATAAAGGTAAACCAATATTTTGATAGTCCACAGAGCCAGAGTACAAACTTGAGTATGTGTTATTAAGTGCCATTGAGTCAGTTCCGACCCATAGTGACCCTGTATAGGGTTTCTGAGGAGCAGCTGGTGAGCTTGAACCACCAATCTTATGGTTCAAACCAGCTTTTCAACCCAGTGCATTAATCCACAGCATCACACCAGGATTCCTGAATTTAGAGATCCTCTCAACAGTAGATCGATGCATGGAACACTAATGACCTAAGGCCAGAAGACTCGTGGCATGTCAAGGACATCATACATGAAAACAAAACTAAACAAAAGCTCATTAAAAAGAAAAGAAAGAAAAGACCAAAACAGATGTTAGAAGAGATTCTGAAATTTGTTCTTGAATGTAGGGTAGCTTAAGAAAATAGAAGCAATGATGAAGAAGAGCTGAACCAAAGATTTCAAAGGGTGGCTTAAGAAGACAAAGTAAAATGAAATGTGCAGAGACCTGGAGTTAGAAACCACAAGAGAGGAACTTTCTCAGCACTTCTCAAGCTGAAAGAACTGAAGAAGAAAAAAAAATTTAAGACCTCAATTGAATTACTTAATGATTGTGTGGGCAAAATGGAATGCTGATGTGGTGCCGTAGGATAAAGCACTAAACTGCAAGGTCGGTGGTTCAAACTCATCGGCTGCCCCTCAGAAGCCCTATACAGGGTCACTATGAGTAGGAACCAACTCCTTAATACTTAACAACAACAACAATGGGCAACATCCTGAATGATACAGAAAGCATCAAAAGAAAATGGAAGGAACACACAGAGTGACTGTACCAAAAAGAACTGGTTGATTTCCATCCATTTAAGGAGGTAGCATATGATCATGAATCAGTGGTACTAAAGGAAGAAGTCCAAGCTACCCTGAAGGCATGGATGAAAAACAAGATTCCAGGAATTGACAGAATACCAATTGAGATGTTTTAACAAAGAGATGCAATGCTGGAGGCATTCACTTGTCTAAGCAAAGAAATTTGGAAGACAACTACCTGGCCAGACAACTAGGAAGAGATCCATAGTTGTGCCCAAAGATAGGTAAGCTAACAGAATGCAGAAGTGATCAACCAGTAACGTTGATATCACATACTAGTAAAATTTTGCTGAAGATCATTGAAACTTGGTTGCAGCAACACATTTACATGAAGCTATCAGAAATTCAAGCCAAATTCAGAAGAGGATATGGAATGAGGGATATCACTGCTGATATTGAGTGGATCTTGGCTGAAAGTAGAGGGTACCAGAAATATGCTTACCTGTGTTTTATTGACTGCAATGGTATTTGACTGGGAGCATCATAACAACCTATGGACAGATTGTGAAGAATGGGAATTCTAGAATGCTTAGTTGTATATAGTGTTTTGTGGAACGTATATAAACCAAGAGGCAATTGTTAGAACAGAGCCAAGGGAATCCTGAATGGCTTAATATCAAAAAAGGTGTGTGTCAGGCTTACCATATTTATTCAGTCTCTATGTTGAGCAAACAATCTGAGAAGCTGGACTATATAAAGAATTCAGCATTAGGATTTAGAGGAAGACTCATTAACAACCTGTGAAGTGCTGATGATACAACCTGGCTTATTTAAAGTGAAGAAGACTCCAGATAAAAAAGACAAATTCTCACAAAGGAACCAATTAGCAATTGTCATGATAAACAGAATATTGAAGTTGTTAAGGATTTCATTTTAACAACTATGGGTGAATCACACCCATGATTCACAATCAACACCCATAGAAGCAGCAGTCAGAAAATCAAGTGACTTATTGCATTGGGACTATCTCTTCCAAAAGACTTATTTTTTAAAATGTGTTAAATAGCAAAGATGTCACTTTTAGAACTGAGGTGTGCCTGATCCAAGCCATGATATTTCCAATCATTCCATATCCATGGGAAAGCCAGACAGAAAAAAAAGAAAGACCAAAGAAGAAATAATGCAGTGAATTATGGTGTTGGTGAAAAATATTGAATTTACCATGGACTGCTAGAAAAATGAGCTAATTTGTCTGGAAAGAGCTATAGCCAGTTAGAATGCTTGTTAGAAGCAAGTATGATGAGGTTTCATTTCTTGAACTTGGCATCAGGTTTGGATGAAGACTCGTTACAAAACTGCGATATACAGATGATACAACCTTGCTTTCTGAAATCGAAGAGGACTTAAAATACTTACTGATGACTCTCAAAGACCACAACCTTTGGTATGGGTTGCACCTCAGTGTAAAGAAAGCAAAACGCCTCACCACTGGGCCAATAAATAACATCAAGATCGATGGAGAAAAGATTAAAGTTGTCAAATACTTCATTTTGCTTGGATCAGTCATTAACACTTATGGAAGCAGCAGTCAAAAAAAATCAAACACTATTGCATTAGGCAGATTTGCTGCACAAGACCTCTTTGAAGTGTTCAAAAGCAAAGATGCTAGCTTGAGAGCTAAGGTGCACATGACCTAAGCCATAATATTTTCAATATTGCCATACATGTGAAAGTTGAACAATGAATAAGGAAGACTATAGAAGAACTAATGCATTTGAGTTGTGTTGGAGGAGAATATTAAAAGCACCATGATCTCTACCAAAAGAACAAACAGATCTGTATTGAAAGAAGTGCAGTTAGAATGCTTCTTAGAAGCCAGAGTAGCCAGACTTTATATCTCATACTTTGGATATGTTATCAGAAGGGATCAGTCCCTGGAGAAGGACATCGTGTCTGGTAAAGTGGAGGGTCAGAGAAAAACTGTAAGGCTCCCAATGAGATGGAATGGCTCGGACATAGCAACGATTGTAAAGTTGGCATAGGACTGGGCAGTGTTTTGTTCTGTTGTGCATAAGGTCACTATGAGTTAGTACCTACTCTACGGCACCTAAATCCATGTTGGATGTGTTACTAGGGGGCACCAGCCCCTGGAGAAGGACATCATGCTTGTTAAATTAGAGAGTTAAAGAAATAGAAGAAGACCCTCCATGAGATGGAGTGACACAGTGGTTACTACAAATGGGCTCATAAATAGGAATGATGATGAGGATGGTGTAGGATTTGGCAGTATTTGGTTCTGATGTATATAGGGTCGCTGTGAATCACAACTGACTCAGTGACACCTAAGAACAACATTTTGATAATTGTTTGAAAATATTAATTCTAAAGCAACCACTCATTTACGTGTTCTTTCCTTTCCTTCCTCAGCATTAAAAGAGAAATCATTCCGCTGGTAAAATCACTCTGCCAAGATGTAGATTATGAAGTTCGATCTTGTATGTGTCGTCAATTAGAAAATATAGCTCAGGGCCTTGGGTAAGTGTACTTAAAAAGCATTTAGATGCATTCTTATTTCTAGCTTGTTAGAAAAGCATATTCTGTTGGTGGATTCCATGAAGAAATGTCTTTGAAAGCTGACAATTTATATGGTATTTAAAAATGACCATAACAATAGCTGTCTATAAGAGATAAAAATAAACAGGCTTAGCATTGTTGTTAAGTATCGTCGAGTTGGTTCTGACTCATAGCAACCCTGTACAGGGTTCCCGAGGAACGACTGGTGGGTTTGAACTGCCAACCTGTGGTTCAAACTGGACTTTGCCACACCAGGACTCCATGCTTAACATGGTGATACATATTTTGTTTACATTAATTTCTTTCTTCTAACCTTAACTATTTTGTTCTAATTCCAAATACCTACACCCAGGAAGGGAAACTGTCTCAATGTAAAGCCATAGGCCATAGCATTTCTTTTGTCTGGCAGCTGGGGTATTGGGTCAGATGTGATTCTTCTCCTGGAAGTCTTTCTGGATCTCCTGCTAATGCTTCAGCTTCCACTGTCTCTGCCATGTTGCTCTCTCCCTTTGAGTGACAAGAAGGAGTGACATAGGACGGCCAATCTCTTCTCCTCACTCTTAGACCTGGGTTCATGATCTTAGTTGGTGTGATATGGGAATTTTGATGTGCAAGTGATTTGTGATCAGCTGCTAACCCAAAGAGTAGTTCTTTGAACCTATCTAGCACCCCCATGAAAGAAAGCCTTGGCTTTTGTAAAGCTTACAACCTAAAATACCCTATGGAATACTTCTTTCCTAGCACAACGGATTGTGTGAGTTGGGGCAGTTAACAATAATAACTCAGTGTATGAGGGGGCTTCAAAAAATTGGGGAAAAGTTCCATTAACTTTTAATTTCATTTTTCCATGAACTTTTTGAAACCTGCTTGTAAAGACACACACAAAGTTTCAGGGTTTTATTACTATAACCTTTATTTTTTAAAATAAGATCTTAAATTGGAATCACTCATTTTTAATAGAAGTTATACATTGTTTATTGTAATGATGTCTGATCATTCTGATTTTTCAACTTATATTTTGTTTCACATGCATGAACAATCAGATTGTGGTCATTTATACATTTGCTAATTTTGTTTTTAAATCTGGACTAATGTTTAAGGAAGCATTTAGAATGCCACACAGATGCAGAGCATATTGCTAAGTAGGATTTAATCATATTCTTAAGCTTTAAGTGTTGTGTGGGAAGCTTAATCATTCAGTTCTCTTAGTTTGATTTTAAGATCACCTTCTGTCTCATAGGTTAGACTGACTCTTGGGACCATTGTGGACCATAATGAATTCAGTCTTGCCTAGACCTGTGCTTCTTAACTAGGATCACATTCTGTTAGGAGAATTTGCTGTTTGCCTTTTGCATTCTATTTCATGTCATCTGATGGTTTGCCATTGCATACAAATGGGCAGAACAAATGTTTTCAAATTATTCCTCTGAAAGTTAATATAGGATTAACACAGGAGTCTTGGTGTGGCATTACTTGTAGGATAAACACTGGACTGCTAACTGAAAGGCTGGCCCTTCAAATGCACTTGCCATTCCTTGGAAACTCTATATGGGGTCTGTATAAGTCAGAACCTACTCAACAGCATTAACTACCACTACCACCACATAGGAGTTAATGTACAAAATTAAACTAAAAGAAGCAACGTAGCTTGTTAAGTTGGTTGTTGCTGGTGGCTTTGTGCTGTGGAGTCAGTTCCAACTCATAGTGACACAGAATGTTTTAAAATTGGGAAAGGTGTGTGACAAGGTTGTGTTCTTTCACCATACTTATTCAACCTTGCTGAGCAAATAATATGAGAAGCTGGGTTCTATGAAGAAAAACGTGGGGATTGGGAAAGACTCATTAACAATCTGCGATATGCAGATGATACAACCTTGCTTGATGAAAGTGAAGAGGGCTTGAAACATTTACTGATGAAGATCAAAGAGCACAGGCTTCGGTATGGGTTGCATCTCAATGTCAAGAAAACAAAAATCCTCACCACTGGACCAATAAACAACATTCTTATCAACAGAGAAAAGATTGAAGTTGTCAAGGA